GCGATTCGGAGGACGATAAATAACAATTATTGAAACTTTAGAATTCAGGATACACTCAAGATATTCGAAAGACGAGTAAGAAAATTGTTTATGTCTCTGCACTTTGAGGGCGGTTTTAAAAATCAGTGCTACACCACCACCTCTTCCTGTTAATCTGGGTTTATGAAGTATTGAATAACCCTTAGGTATCAGGGAAGATAGCACAGGGCCTTCGCTATCACCACTGAGCCATGTTTCGGTTACTGCGAATAGATCAAACTCATTTTCACAAATAAATTCGTTCAATTCAATTGATTTATTCCGCACAGAACGAGCGTTTAGCAAACAAAGTTTTAGACCACATTCTTTACGTGAAGGTTCTTGCAACGCCTTCGGACAGTTTATTTGAATAAGGTTGCTTAAATTAGGTTTACCGGGAACAGCTCGGTCGTTTCCAAATGGGGGAGAAGTTATCACACTAATACGATGCTTTCTATTTTTTCCCGAGGAACACCCTCTCCTAGTTTTCTGAAAATTCGTTATGTTACTTGTAAGAGTTTTAAGATAGTCTATATGTGTCTTTTTAAGTGGGTTAAAGTCTCGCAAGGACAGCAGTTGGTCTCTTGAGTAAGTTAGACAACAGTTTGGGCGCTCATTCCTCGCCATAAATAAAATGTTGATTTGGCAGCAATTGTTCCCCATAAAAGTCAGAGTTGTCAGTAGTGAAACTTGTAAACACACTGCTAAATTTAGTAACGACCTAAACTCAGTCAGTGATTTCATGCTTGACTTGCCATTGCTGATCAGTTGAAATAATATAAAATTGTCAAATTCTTCAAAGTTAAAATACAACGTTACCACAAAACTGCATCATAAGATTCTCTGCTACATGAGAAACACACTGGTACCACTTTTATAAACAGGCAATATGATTTAATAGCTTAACTTTGTAAAATAGAACAGACACACAAAACTGAGAGCAGCCATAAGCGCATCATCATCATCTTCTGTTACTTCTACATTGCTATTTCGTGTTACTTTATGTGTTACGTGATCTTTTTCATCGCTATCTTCTGTTATTTTATCTTCTAAATTAATACCTTCTATTACTTTATCTTCTGCTTTTCTACCTTCTGTTACTTTATCTCCTATATTGCTATCTTCTATTACTTTATTTCTACATTGCTATCTTCTGTTACTTTATCTCCTATATTGTTATCTTCTGTTACTTTATCTTCTACATTGCTATCTTCTGTTACTTTATCTCCTATATTGTTATCTTCTGTTACTTTATCTTCTGCATTGCTATCTCCTCTTACTTTATCTCCTATATTGTTATCTACTGTTACTTTATCTTCTGCATTGCTACCTTCTGTTACTTTATCTCCTATATTGTTATCTTCTGTTACTTAATCTTCTGCATTGCTATCTCCTCTTACTTTATCTCCTATATTGTTATCTACTGTTACTTTATCTTCTGCATTGCTATCTTCTGTTACTTTATCTCCTATATTGTTATCTTCTGTTACTTTATCTTCTACATTGCTATCTTCTGTTACTTTATCTCCTATATTGTTATCTTCTGTTACTTTATCTTCTGCATTGCTATCTCCTCTTACTTTATCTCCTATATTGCTATCTACTGTTACTTTATCTTCTGCATTGCTACCTTCTGTTACTTTATCTTTTACATTGTTACAGTCTATTTCTTTGTCTTCTGTTTCTTGAGTGTCTTTGGTTTCTTTATCGTCTGTTTCATTATTTTTTCTTTCATCTATTTCTTTATTTTCGGGTTCTGTTTCTTTCCCTTTGTTTTCTTTATCGTCTGGTATGACTGAAAAAAGAAATCGAACCCAGAAATAAAATAGATATGACGAAACATCCATAGATCTGAAATATCCAATGGGATAGTTAATTATTAAACATGCATTATGCAAGAGCTAAATCTGATTATTGCAAGTCTTAATTTAGGCTTCAGATGTTATAGAAATTATAAATTAGATCTTTATTTAAACAACAAGACCAAAATCAACTCTGTAGACCCACGGATGGCTCGGCTACAGCTCGGATTTAAATAGGATTTCACTAATTGATTAAATCAAATAAGAGGTAACCTGATGAAAATACGTCAGTTAGATCGAGGCTAAATGATAGAGTGTACTTAGCGAGGCCTCTGTAATGCGTTTCCGTATGCCATTGAAAACTTTACTTGATAATCGAGATATGTAGGTGGAGTTAACGCCTGTCAATCAAACGACCGGCGAAGGTGAAGACACATTTCGCTACCATTTCTAGGCAAATATTACAACGATGATAACTATGTTCAGAATAAAGTAATTTGACTGAATTTTTCAATATATTCTTCTTTCATCATCTAATTTTGAACTGTTATAGCAAGAATGGCCAACTCTCTATAAAAATCTCCCATAATTTATCTTTAAGTCACAATTTGCCTACAAAATGGCGGCGGGCATAGTTCGGTGAAATTTAAATTCGGCATATCCTACACATATGGCGTATCGAGACATTAATTGTAAACGAATCCAGGAATAACTTCTAATGAAAAAAAGTATTTTGTAGTCTTATTTTCCTCTCTTTTCTTTAGCACCTCAAATATCTTGTCATTCTTTATGCAAAATTGCCTCACTCCACTTACGAAGTATTCTGCTTCCAACCCACTCTGTAGGAATTCGGGAAACGTTGGCATTTCAACTTCTGAAAGAATAACGCAACACAAAATTCATTAAATGTATGTAGAGGTTAGTATCCAGACAATGAGATTCTGTATGCTTTTAAAACGTTAAGATTATAACTCGGGGCTAATTTAAAGGATTAGCTGCCAGAGGCGGCTCGTTTCAAAGTCCCCCTCCCACCTTAAGCGACGGGTTGGGGGAGTGGGGGCACTTTTCTGTTGATTTAGATACCAACGGTAACCGACAATTCCGTTGAGCAAATCTGAAGAAAAAATATGAAATTAGATTTAACGTCTGTTTTTTTCTGCTCATAAATAAAATGAAGAAGGGCATACGCCATGCAGTCTGAGAGGTAACATTTGCCCGGCCTTCGAGAGCTCGATGGCCGCGAAATTTCCCTCTGGATTTCCGGCCCGGATTGGTCGATAATCCGATGTCTCTTGTACACGTTGGCGTGCGCATAAAAGAAATCGAAATAACAGCGTAGCCAGGCAAGATTTCTCTCATATAGCACAATGTATGCCCGTCTTCGTTATCCCGGTTGATGCTAAAAAGTAGAACGTTAAACCCTATTTATATTTGCTGCGGAGAAAAACAAGGGCGACAGAAAAACAAGGGCGTTATAATGATTGTATGTAAAGCATTTGAGGTAAAACACATAACAATAAGAATATGGGAAGCTTATTCAAACCACAAAGTTTCTTTGGCAAGGCTTTACTGAACCCATAACGATTGCCGATCAATAGGCATTTTTTGTGCAAAAAGAGTATTTTCGATATAGATGAAGGTTTCTAAATGGACAGTGGTTCTGCAATCGTTATATATCTACTCCCAGGACATAAGTGGAAAGTTGTTGAATTATAAGATAAACCTTTGGACAAAAGGAGTAAGCCAGTAACAACTCGCCCCGTTCATAATGGCACTGAGGACTGATAGGTCGGCGCACAACCCAAGATACATATTAGGTCTTTCGACAAGAATTAAACTGGAGCCAAAGGGACCCTTTTATCCGATTCGGCGGCCTTTTCTTGGACTTGGGGATCCTGTCTCAGGTGATCCATATCAAGTATTCTCCCCGGATTTGGGGTTTCTTTCAGTTTTCTTTTCAGAGATTTCAGCAAAAAAATTTCGACCGGAGGCTGCCGCCTGTGGTCACTGGCTACAATCCGCTTCTGTCCAAGCTTGGACCAAAAATAACCTTTTGAGATTTTTTGCTTTTATCCAGATATTCTGATTTATCCTTTTATCCTGATTTCCAATCTATCTTGGTTTGAACATTACCACAATCATTAATGAGCTAAGGTGGTAATGCTTGTAACATCGGCTTTGGGGTGTAGTCTTTACCGTGCTACAGCAAAGTTGAACCAGTTAACGTTCTTCAAGATCTACCCAGATTCTAACTGATTTCACAGTAGTGTGTGTACACGTATTATCGCCACAAAATTATCGTATTGTGGCTTTGTAACGTTTATGTTTTGAAAAGCGAAAGCTACAAAAATAAACGACCATCTTTTACTTCCGCCTCTTGGCAACGCACATTCTTCACATTGTTAACTTTCTTTTAACGCATAATGATCACCGAAGGTTTAGAACAATGAATATAACGTCACCGAAAAGTATTGCGCATAATGAAACGATTTCGATGTCCATTGGTGGTTAAATTTTGACTTTGAATTATATGAAGTGCTACTAGTTCTGATATTACTGTTTACTTCGATTTTACGACATAGTTCTTATGCCTTCATTAGCAAAATACATGTATGATACCGTCAGTGGTATGGTGTAGTGCTGTAACCGAGCCCCCTTACTTTATCTAAGGGGTTGTGTGGGGGTGGGGGCTTCTCTCTCTATTCTTTATTGTGGTGGAATTTAAGACTGTTTTATACCCTTTTGCTTCTCTTGACGTTTGGAAAACGGATTCAGAGTAGGCTTCGCCCCGACATTTAATAATTTTAAGTACATTGTGTCTTGGCATCAGTTAACTAACAACACTCTTTGTGCCATTATTCTTCGGTTTATTTTCGGGTGCTATCAGTTCATGTCGTATCTAATTTTCTAGTCCAACAATTATCCAACACAATACATGTACTTAACTGGCCTTATGGACCGAAAAAAATGAGTTCGTTCTGGGAGTAGGTTACATGTTTTAAAACATGTAGAAATCGACCCACTTCTATTGATGAGAAGAAGCAGATGGTTTACAAAGATCCCATATCATGACCTTGTACTTGGATCTTGTATAACTGCCCGATGTTTATCATGTGACTTTTTATATATTCCTTATCTTTTTAAAAACTCCACCATTTAACAACTGTTGAGTCTCCTGCCTTATCTCCCTTGTCAAATAGTCCCTCTCTTATCTTATCGACACACTCTGTGATCTCATTCCTTCCATTCGACTCCACGTCGCGTAGCCGTCATGAAGCTTCTGTTGGTTCTCTGTTTTGCCGTAGCCACCGTTCTTTCACAGCAACCTAGGCCTTGTGGTAAAGTAACTTTTCTGAATATTTTTGGGCTTTATCTTTGAAAATGCTATATCGTAGTAAAATAAATCCCTTGTAATCGATAAATGGTACAAACAAGCATTGTTTAGTGGGGTTTGTACATCCAGACTTAGGCTGAGCTCTGCCTGAGAACAGGTATTCTCGAGGTATGAAGTAGATGCATCGCTATGTGCAGTATGGGGTTTGTATTATCTAACTCATAGCATATCTAGCTTAATTACTGAGTAAGGTTCTAAATTACCGAAATTTCAATGTTGGAAAAAATCAAGCCAAGACCGAGACATAGGGCCTGGGGAATGAGATTTTTGGCCTTAGCTTTAAAATGGCATTTGCAATATAGAAAGCGACGCCAATGGCAAAACGATTCAATTGTAGTTTAACAGTCTTTAACAAACTTTATATAAATACTATTATGTATCTACTTTTATGTTTTGTTCTTCAGAATCACCAAGACAATGGGAAGGAAGGCTATCCAGAGTAAGTTTAGTTTTCATTCTATATGTAAATGTATATGGTACTGCAGTGTCAGTTTAAATAATATGCAGTCATAAAATGTTAACTGATATGACATTGCCAACTTGTTAAATGCTTCTCGATTTATGAACAACCTAATTTCAGAATTTATATGATTTTTTGTCTTTGCTTTTCAGTATGATCGTGACCGACAATTCTTTCAGAGAGCTAGAGTTAGTTATGACGAGCTAGATAGACGTGTTAGAGAAATCGAAGAAGTTGAAATCGGCAAAACAGTTGATTACTACGATGTTCTTTATTTACACAATGTTGTAAGTAATACTTATCAGGGTGGGGTTTAACGTTTCGTCAATACAAACCTTTGTCATTTTGAGACTAACATACGTTTTTTTTATTAGAATTATAGTCACAGTATTTGAGAGAATTAAATTTTGTCTGCTGCTGCCTACTCTTAAAGAAAATCCTCAAGTTGCTCGCGGATTGGTTCGAACTCGGTAGATTTTATTGGATACCTTGACTTCTGAACCATCGACTACCGCACCCCACTAACAATAATGCGTTTAGCACACTACTATCTGTGATGGGGTGAAGGTGGGGTGGTAAAGGTGGTACTCAATGATCTCATAAAGCAAACACATGTTTGGCGCATTCCCTGCTCTCAAGCTCCCAATAGACGCCGAGTAACTGTAGGGCGTACATGCATACTAGTTCAGTTAGTACAGATATGCCTTCTAAAGATAATTTACTGAAACCTTAAAGTCTACCAAAACAAGTAAACTTAATTATACAATTTTCAGGGCCTTGAATACAGATTAAACTTAAAAACACGTGAATGTAAACTCACACCTTTGACTCGTCCATTCATCCCAGCTGGTCTTCCACCAGATGCCAACTACAGAGGTCAAGCTACTCTTGGTGCTTCTGGTATTCCCGATGAGTATACCGAGGTTGTTCTCTTTGATGGAAGTTTCGAGGGAAGTAAGTTAAAGATTTGTGAATAAATTTGGAGCAAAATGAACTCGCAGTTAATCATTTAAAGTTTGAAATCAAAATGTGTAATTGTTTTCATTCCACGATATCTTTAGGACTATGTAATCCAATATATAAATATATAAATCATTTCGCTTCATTTCAGATCAATTTTTCGGTGTAGTCACTTATCCAGACTGTGTTCCAGTTGAATCTGGTTTCTATAGTAACAGAACCGGGGCTGTAAGAACTAAGTAAGTCTGAGTTTGTTTGGCATCTGTTCTGGGGATAACTATCATATTTAAGAAAGCGGACAATGGGTTTTAGTTTCCCAAGGGGTCCATGGGGTGTGAGTGGTCAACTGACCTACGATGACTTAGACAAGCTACTAGTTCGCGTTTTATTTATATACTCCGATTGGACTGAGGGGGTATGGGATCGTTTCGGTTTCAACTTCTTGATGTGTTTAATGTCTCCATAAGAGATGTATCGTGGTCGAATAAGTCAGTTGTTAGCCGGAGGGGTGGGGGAGGTGTCTATTACAAAGTTAACGTCCAATACATAATTGGGAGGGATTGGAGGCAACTGGCTGTTTATAAAACTGCATAAATATTATTAATGCTAAATGTGTAATATATGATTCTTTTTTATTTCAGCTTTTATGACATTAGTTTGGGTGTTGCTGATCCAAGCGTATTCGTTCCACCAACAGAGTGTCAACAATAGAAAAAATAATTCAAAATAAATTAGTAGTATTTAACTAACTGCTTTTGTTTATTTTGTAGACCACACGATATTATTTGTTTGGATACGGGCATGCGCTATCGGAACCGACAAAGGATCTAGGGCCTACTTTTATTTCGATTTAAAACTGTCAGTGGATATTTACTGTCATTGGTATACGGGACCTCTGTTTTCGTCCCATCTGAAAGGCTGGACTTTCTGTTTTTCGTGTCCTCCCGCTTCCACCACTGCCAGCCACGGGGAAACCGGGCTGGCAAATCCCGGGGATCGATCCTGGAAGTTCTTGACTAGTAAGCCAGTGTCATGCTTACCCAGACACCATAGCTCCCAAACATAACTGGACCCGCTATCTTATCGCCACAGTAATCCGGCCAATTCAAGAAAACAAACCGACACGAAGTAGTTATTTAGTTTCGTTATACTTACCATTGTGTCTATAATCTTCACAATCTAATCCCAAGAAGGGCGTCCATAATCAGTGAGGGAAAAGATGGGTGGCGGGAAATAAAATCTGTCATTGTCTACCATTGTAACCCGGACAATGAAATAACCTTCAATTAAAAGTGAAATGAGTAATAACTTCGTCTTAATTCATTGGTTAGTGACTTTTCTGAAAGTTTCCAAAACATTTTATGGACTAACCTGCAGAGACAAGGCGCCCAGATCAAGTATACACGATGTCGCGTTCTATACAGTACAGTTAGCCTGACTTTGTTTGGTGCAGTTTAAAAGATACAAGTCCTCATTTGAATCATACTGAATGAGGTGGTGGAGAAATCAACAGCACTGAAATCTTTCAGCAATTTAAACATACCCTGAGACATTGATTACGAGCCCTAAATAAAATCCCATATTACACACAAGGGTATCAATAAAAGTCGTTGGTTGTCACAGCCTAAAAGTTTATACGTGTAACATTCAATATGAGGGATCGGTAAACATGTCAAAGGAGGATTGGTGTCTTGGGGAGGGACTGATGTCTGGTGGAGAGTACTAAAACCCGAATAATACCCCCCGACCCCCTGGAATTCCTTTCTCGGGTAAGAATCTGCTATCACATTATGGTTAGAATAAACATTCTACAAGCAAAATCAATAATAGATATTGATGGCTAATGAAATAATCTCATAGTAATAATTTCATTTTTAAGTTCGAGTTTTGGAGCAAGATAATTTAAATCACCTAACGGCATTACTATCAACAATGGTGTCCGTATAAGTAATCAGCATTTGAAATTCTGACTATGCATTTTTTGGGAGGGATGGGGTTTAACATCCACTCGACACAAGCTAGGTCATTTCGGGACTAACATATGGTTTAATTTTATTTCAATAATTCGCTTGCGCGTAGGGGTCTTAAGCAGTGGGAGGAAACAGGAGGACCCGGAGAAAACCCACGAGGTTGGACAGGCGACCCTATTCCTTGTCACGTACAACTGGGGATTCGAAACCACGCCAGTCGACTCAATGACAGACTTTATGATACAGCGCGCGCACGCTAACCATTCAGCCATCCAACCCCCCAAAGCTGCATTATGTAAGATTTAGATAAAGAGCTGTCTGTTTGTTCTTGTGTGCGATGATATAGGGAGTTGACTAATTAATAATCCATATAACCAATAACTATTCACTTTTCATTATCTATTGTCATACTATTATAGTAAGAACGTCAAGCTGCAATGAACATGTATAGTCGTTCGGATGGTACAAAAAACCGAGGCGTGCACGTAAAAGAAGCTTTGACGGTTTGAATTCTATATAAGAGTAGGCCGTAGCAACTCTATCCGGGCAAATTGTCCCGCATGCATGCCGTATGCCCGTCTTCATTAGACCAGTCGGAGTAAAAAAGTAGGACGTTAAACCCTATTTCATTTATTTGGTTGAAAGTATAATTTTCAATTTTGAGTGATTTTATATGTTAATTTGTTTAGTGGGATGATATCTATAGCCAGTGTACCACCGTCGACACAGTAAGCCAAAATTTAAACTAAAATTGGTAAAGTAGCCGACATTTTAAGAAATTGTTACTGTATAGAACACATCGGATTAATTAAATTTAATACTTTATTTTAATTAAATCACAGAGATTTAGCACCTTTAAGCCCAGTCTGGTCATTCGCTCTTCAATTAGAATTGAAGAAAAAGAACCCGGAGAACGCTATTGTCATTGTTGCCTTAACTTGAACTAAAATTGCAAGCTTTCGTTTTTCAAGACAGGTGCAATATTTCAAACTCAGATAAAATGTGAATATAGGTGCACGTCAAGATATGTGTTTTATTATGCTAATCAGTGTCAAGGGAATAAAATATTGAAACGTGGCGAGACATTTAATAAGTCCAGAAAACGGGGCCAGTCATTGGGAAGGGTTGTCTTTTTTTGGAAACTCCACAAACTCCTATTACATTGTCATTGTTTTATACATTATACCTGATGCTGATGCAGACAATTATAACGCATGTGTAGGTATTGTTTGGTAGCGATTGTTAGGATTGCAGGAGGGGGGGGGGGGCGAATGGTTAGCACGTGCGTGCTGTATCATAAGGCCTGTCATTGAGTCAACTGGCGTGGTTTTGAATCCCCGGTTGTACGTGACAAGGAGTAGGGTCGCCTTTCCAACCTCGTGGATTTTCTCCGGTTTCCTCCCACTGCTAAAGACGACTACGCGCAAGCGAATTATTGAAATAAATTAAACCATATGTTAGTCCCGAAATGACCTAGTTTGTGTCGAGTGGACATTAAACCCCATTTCTCTCTATCTCTCGCTATGAGTACATTCATAGAGCGAACCCTATTTTCACATGCATATCCCATCCTTATTTAAAACCGTTTGATTTGTCTTCCAGTGATCTTAGCAATAAGGTAAGATCAACTGCAATCTGGAAACACCTTGATACCGCGCAGTCGTGCGGTAAAGGGACAGGTCTCAGACTGGATTGTCCTAGAAACCCGAAAAGAACATTTTTTTTAAAACCCGGCTTCCAGTCGTAAGTAGTAGCGCCTTCTTTACGTTCAGAATTCAGATTTTGGAAATTGGAAACCCATATTGTAGATCTAAATTGTTTTTGTCATTAGTTCAGCTCAGTCCTAGCCTACATGCAGATATAACAAATGTACATTCTGGATGTCCTTGATGGAAAACTATTTGTGCTATCATGCACGTGTACTTAATATATTTACGCTATATACACAGATGACAGTTCGCACATTTTGTAGAATCGCGGGCCACACTATTGCGTCAGACTGACTGACTAGACTGTGGTTGTATATAATTCTTTTAAAACCTTGGTCCAGTTTAAAGTAGCAATTGATTTCGCACAAATTAACAGATTTTCGAGGGCTATCCTTTTTTTCTCTTTTTTTTATCTGTGATGAATGTTATGGAAATAAGCAGATGTTTATTTTACAAGAAAGTGTTTAGAAAACTCTCACAGGATTTTTCACAATCCTTCTGATCGGCTGGCATCATGTTGAAGTCTTTGATAGTTCTCGCTGCTGTAGTTCTCTGCACTGTTTGGGCACAGTTACCAAGACCATGTGGTAAGTTTTAAGTTTTATTATCATGAACTATATTTCTAAAGTTATCTGAGGTTTTCTAATAACAATGCAAAAGTACAGTACAACACAAGATTATGAGCGATAAAGTGAATTCCTCACCTCAAACGAGGAAGAATGTTGTGATGACATTTTCTTTCTGATTATGCTTAGCTAGGGGAAGAGATATAGGTCATGTTTGTGGTCAATAGATTGGTCATTACACTACTAATTCAACAAAGAGAAAATTGGTGTTTTAGTGCCTTCGATATAAATAAACGAAAGTAGTTCAGATGAAAATGTTTATGCAAATATTACGGCAATTAAGAGCTAAATCTGCCCATTGTAGGCCTTATTTTGGTTTAAAATATACAACAAGCCTATAATAAAATCTCTAGATCATAGGATGGCCGAGAATTAAATGGATTAGAACTCCTGCGAGATTTAAAAAGTTTCATAAAAATATAATATGTATCACAATTAATATTTTAATTAAAGCGACGTTTCGTTGTGTTGCATATTAATTGTGTTCCCTATTATGTTTTTGTTTTTATTACGTGTGTCAATTGCTAAATGCCGCTCAGAGAAGATAAAAGTCCCAATAATAAAACAATCTACGCTACATATTCAAACACTCATAACTTCGCTCAGAATAAAGTAACTTGAATGCAATTTTCAACATATTCATTATTTATTATCTATTTTTGAAACATAGCATAATGCATCTTTAAATAATCCTACACTGAGCATGTTTTATATTTAAAATTCAAAGATTTAATGATGATTTAAACATGCATTATGCAAGAGCAAAATCTGCTTATTACAAGTCCTTCTTTAGGCCTGAAATGTTATCTAAATTATCAATTAGACATTAATTAACTTATCCAGACCATAATAAACTCTCGATGTCAAGGCTAGCCTTCGATGTTGGCTGGATTAGATTCCTATATGCCGTTTAACGGCCATTGATAATTAAATCAAAACAATGGATAATCGAGACAATGCTGTTTATATTAATGATTTTAGTAATGATGACCGAGACTATGCGAAAATTTCACCCGCTTCGTTCTCGGCTCACAGTGCATCAATTTGACTGAAATTTTCAGCAAATTACCTTTACACTATCTAGTTTTTAACTATTACAGTGAGAACTGCCATCCCTGTATCTTATCTCCCATAATGTAGCTTTAATTGTACACAGTAATAGTAACATTGTGTGAGTTTTTTTATAATGAATATTGGAAAGATGATATGATAGGGAGTACGAAATTTTAGGGTGGGTTCGTTTTGCCCAATGGACATACCTGCAAAATGCGTCTTTTTGATCGAGATTGAAGTTTGCGTTAAAAATAAGAAATATACGCCTTCAATTTCGATCAAAAAGACTTATTTTTGGCATTGGGCAAAACGAACCCACCGGAAATTTTCTGTCTTCTATTAATTCCTGGATAACAAAGTATATGTACTACTAAATATATTAATTAA